GTCGAATCGTACGGTGTCGAATAATTTGGTGTCGAATAAATCTGTGTCGAATCGAGCGGTGTCGAATCGTACTGTGGTCAATAGAGTATCACCCGGCCTGGAGTAGTCAGTCAAAGTATGATCAAATTGTAACGGAATTATAACTGAGTCGTTTGTGATATTAAATATATGTGTAATTCAGCATTAATCATTAAGTGTTGTTTATTTAATTATTCCAAATTGCGGAGCAGTCGTGTCGATAACAATATAACCGTTGAAAGTGCGTGATCATTCAAAGGAGCTGATCTTCGTTGAATCAGCTGTTTTTTAAGTCGGTCGTGTAAAGATCACCGCAAGGACAGAATAGGAGTCGTGTTTATAACATTATAAGCTATAGTTGATTCAAATTCACTTTATTCCATATAAGACTTGGTCTTTCCTGATAAATCTCTGTCAACTTCAGAAATGAGAGTACAATTTAGATACGATTTAAATGCGATTTATTCACGGTTTTTAGTCGTTAAAATCGGAGTTGTTGTGCGCGCGCGTGCATGTGTTAGTCGCGTGTCCGTGATATCTGTAAAGGTGAAGTAAATAAAACTCACTAATTCGGAAAGCAATACAAAAAAAGATCGAAAAATAACTTGTATTATATTGCCACGTATCCGTGCTATGATGGATCGAGCCGCTTTAGAATGAGCGACCTTGGATAAGCTGCAATCAGAAGCACAAAAATATCACCTTCTGATAGGTGGAAATGGAAGCAACCTGATCGACCGTATACTAACTCACATCGAGCGAATGGATTTGCAAGATTAATTGGCTGAAACCCAGAGCGGGTCCAGCGTCGGACAAATTGCCGAATCAAAAGCTGCGGGTGGTGCGGAGGAACTACTGACCGCAACCGTCTTGCGTTCCGCGCTCAATGAAGTCACGGAGATCATGCGTCAGCAAGAACAATCAATTCAATTGCTGGTGCAACTGATGGCGAATCAAAACGGTGCACATCCGCTGATCATGGCAACCGAAAAGCAACCTTTGAATGTCGGGGTGGAGTCTAGATCTTCGTCTGTTCCAGCTCTATCAGGAGCTCAGCAATCTATAAGAAATACAGATAGTCACATTCCCGGAAATTCAGTGTCGTGGCTTGCAACCCAGATACCGGAATTTAGCGGATCGGATAAAGAAAATGTAGTTACGTGGGTGCAACGTGTCGACCAGGTGACCGGAGGCCACGGAGCGTTGGATGGAGTTACGCTCCTGGCGGCTTCCAGTAAATTAACCAAGTTCGCTAAAACTTGGTATAAAGTTCAATCCGGTGTAGCGGTTGAATCGTGCATCGGTCTTCGGCCAAGATGTTAAAAATATTTTAACGGAAAATTCCGTTCTATAAGGCTATTTAGAGAGAAGAATCCAGGAGATGGATACCGAGTAAGGAGACATTCGATAAGTACGCGATAGCCAAGTTAGCCATTATACATTTGCTCAACTTACCGGTAAAAGATACTGTGCATTTGTTGATTAGTGACATCACGAACAGTGCAATCAGAGCGTCAGCGTTGTTGGTTGCAGATAGGTCTTTTGAGTGTTTCCTGGAGAAAATGCGGGCTGTCACGGAAGGGTTCGCAGATCCGGGTGACAAGAATCGTCGGTGCTTCCTAGTGGCAGGAAGACAAAAGATTCGGCATGCAGAAACTGGAAAAAAAGGTCATGGTCACAAAAAGTGCAGAAGTGACATTGTGTGTTTTTATTGTTAGCAGGAGAGGCACAGACAATTCGATTGTCCATCCGTAAAGGCTAAAGGTGCGAAACCTCAGCCGCAGCACCAGAAGCCCGTGTCCTCAGCAGCGTTGGTCACCGAGGTTGGAGCGCAGGCCGAAGTGGTAGCATTGGTGAACGAGCAAGATGCTGAAGTGAAGTCGACCGCACCGTCCGTAAAGGTAGTCACGATCTGCAATAAAAACTACAAATTAAGAGCTTTGATATATACGAGTAGCCCGGTTTCTTTTGTAAAACTTAATGTGTATAAGAAGTGGATTTTACCTTATGTAAAAACTTTAAAACCGTCGGACCGAGTTTTTGTAAATATTAAAAATGAACCGTTGAATGTCGTTGGTGTGGTTCCAGTAAATTTATCTGTGGATTTTCTAGAAAATAAAACAATACATATTGATTTGTTCGTAAAGAATATGCTTTTGATTGCGACATTATTCTCGGAAGAGAATTTATAAAGAAGCAAGGATTTATCTTGAGCTATGCAAAACCCGTTGGAAAAATTGTCGGATTCGATGCGTCAAAAAATATGCTGCATGAATTACCTCTCTGCGTTGAGGATGAGCAAGCTGTAACATTAGAAGAAATATTAAAAAATCATATTATAGACTTTGGCGATAAAGATAGACGGTGTTTAATTGAAACAATTTTAAGTGTAGAAAATAAAATTATCGAACCTGTCGATGACGGATACATTGTCAAAGTTCATCTTAAAGATGATTCTATCTTTGCATTCGCCCCGAGGCGATTCGCGCATGTCGAGCGTCTTGAATTAAGAGCAATAACAGATGATTTGATGGAGCGGGGTATCATCAAGCCGAGTACTTCGCCATATTGCTCCAGAATAGTTCCTGTGCGTAAAAAAATAGTGATTAAAATGTGTATCGACCTGAGGCCTCTGAACAGTAGAATAAGAAAGCAAAAATATCCGTTTCCTAATATCAAAGATTGCATATCTCGGTTATATGATAAATCGGTATTTCCCATGGTTGATTTAAAAGACAGCTTTTACCAAAGAAAGATAGATGATGACAGTACAAAATATTGCTCATTTGCGACGGCCAAAAGCCAATTCGAGTATAATTATTTGCCTTTCGGTTATTCAGAGGCCCCAGCTAAATTCCAGAAACGGATTCTTCAGATACTGAATCCTCTGGTTAGAGAGGAAAAAATAATTGTATATATGGATAATATTCTCATCCCTACCAAACCAGTTGACAAAAATTTGGCTTTGATCGACGAGATGTTAAGTATTCTGAAAAAATACAAATTTGATGTTAATTACGCTAAATGTCAATCCTTGCAAACTAAAATAGAATTCTTAAGTTATATTATCTTTCATAATAGTAGTACGTTGAGTAGAAAGCATACCGAGGCGATTGATAAATTTAAAACACCTTCGAGTGTACAGGGTGCGGCGCCAAAATCCGGACAAATTATATGTTTTTCTAAATATGTTTTATTGCTACAATGAAAAGATTTACAAAATTTGTTTAGCTCCATTGTTTGTAAGGCCATAAATAATATATTC